TAAACCCCTGAAACCCCCAAAGCCCCTGAAACCCCCTCAGCGCTCCTAAAACGCATATAGAACCCTCGAAGATCCCAGAGCCTCCCTGCGAGGGCGTCAGCTTCTCCACATCGGTGGCCGAGCATCTCTTTAGAGCCTTTCCGAGGCTTAGAGCTTTAGGGTGGGTTTAGGGTTTAGGTTGGGTACTGCCCCCACTCAGTAACAGTCTATATTAGGGGTCCCATTAAGGGCTATATATAACCATATTGTAGTTATTATCCAACTGTTACCGAGGGGGCAGTACTCAAGGTTTTTGGTTTCGGGGCTTTAGGGCTTGTAGGTTTCTGTTTAAGGTCAAAGGCTTTGGGTTTTCTGGCGGTTTAGGGGTTTAGGGTTTTCGGGGCTGTAGTTTAGGGTTTTAAGGCTGTAGGGTTGGGGATTTCAGTTTAGTGTTTTAAAACTCTGCGCCCCAAACATTGGGCCCTTAGACGTTTTAAGGTAGAGTATATGGTAGGCACATGAGGATCCCAGAGTTAAGGGCCCGTACTAGGGGCGCACGGTTTCAACCGTTGAGTCTTAGGGCTTTAGGGCTTTAGGGTTTTAGGGCTTTAGCGCTTTGGGTGTATACAGGCTTCAGGGCTTTGGGGTTTGGTTTATGTAGGGAGTTGTAGGGATGTAGATATGCACGTTGTGCAGGGGTTATTTAAGGGTTATGTGGTTAGGGTGCAAGGCTTAGGGTTTAGGATTTTGGGTTTAGTATCTAGGACTTAGGTTGTAGGGCATTTTCGTTTAATGCTTAGGGATGTTTAGGGCACCCATTTGGGAGTTTCTCAAAATCGGGGTCCCTCCTGTATTCCCCAATGTACTGAAAGGACAAGACTAGAACTACTCCCAAAAGGGGACTCCAAATTTTTGGAAACCCCGAGTTGAAACTGAGATCCAATTTAGGATACTTGGGGCTCATCTGAGGACTCTTCGGGTGAGGATGTAGCATTGGATTAAACCCTCCGCCATGAACCTCTTACCCGCTACTTAACAGGGTTAAAGGTTTAGGGTGTCTGTGGTCTTGAATATCACCCGTAAGAAACGAAGTAAAACGCAGAATCGAACAACACCTCAAGTAGCACAAACAACTGCAATGATTTTAACCCTCTTTTGAACCCAGACTCGTGATGTTAGCTGGCTCAACAGGACTCCACTATACAAGCCCTGCAAATTGACGTCCGTACTCCACCTCCACTAACCTGCACACCGACAAGAGGACACCTCTCTATTAACCCTAAAACCTAAACCCTCCAGGGATTTGGGGCTTGGGGGCTGCACAATCATCCCACGAAACACTGCTGGCTGTTACCTGCTTGTAACTTGGGCCCTTTGCTGTCCAGTAAGAAACCTCCGGGAGCACATTTAATGTCCCTAAGCAGCCCTAAACCCTCTACCTGAAGCCCCCTTAGGAATTTTAGAGGGAAGGGATTGCTTTGGGGATTTGAGGGTGAACCCAAACTAGTCGAAAGACCAACAGTCCCTTCCAAAAGATCCCCTATATCAGGGCTTCCCAAGCTAGCGTTGTGGAGGGTGGGCTCTAGAACATCTCGCCGCAGTCAGTAGGTCTCCTTTTGCCTTTGCGATCATGCAGGCATCGTGGGCGGGGAATGCGCAGGCATGATCTTGAATAACTCCCGTATCAGTATCAGGATGGTGGCTTTCTGCTGGACATGCTGCAAAATCCCAAACCCTGAGCCCAAAGGCCGCTGCTTCGAGGACAAGTCTAGAAATAAACCCTAAACCCTAAATCCTGGACCCTAATCCCTCTTAAACTTCTTTGACAAACTCTACAAGCTCCAGAGCCCCTCTGTGGCTGCCCTGGAACCCTGAAAGCCTTGATTTGAATCCGCCCTCGAACCCTCCCAAAATTTTTAACTGTGTCTTAGCGTTTAGGGTTTAGGCCCGTATTAAAAAAACACTTAAGAAAACCAATTTCGAGCGAAACGCTAGACCCTAAATTGCCTTCAACCCTCACTCTTGGACCCCGCGTCGCAAAGCTGGGCCTCCACGGCCGAGCGCACGTTGCCTTTGCTTTCGCCTTAGGCCAAGGATGGAACTTTAGGGTTTCTTTACGGGGGAAATGTTGCCTACATGATCCTTTGAGATGGGAATACAGAGGTTATGTAGGGACCCTATGGGAATTACGGCTTCTGGTTTGGTTCCTTGCTGGGATTTAGATTAAAATCACAACTTTATACTTGTTTTACTTCCTTGGTTTTAGTACAAGACAGACCAACCATGTGTATCCAGCAACGGCGAAGGTTTAGGGTTTGGGGTGTAGGAGAGGGCCGGGTGCTGTAGCGGATCTGCACACAAGCCTTTCACCTGAACCTCCAAGTGGTGGCCAAAGCCATGTGGTTAGGAGTTGGGGTTTAGGGCTTCTGGTCCCCCTGAAGTAGATAGAATATGGGGTATATGGGATCTTAGTATAATATACTAACCAAAGGCACCTTATATAGCTAATTAAGGGACACTATAGGGGTTTTGAACCCTGAAACTATCAAAGCGGAATGAAAACGACGAAGCCCGGAACTCCCAGGCCGCCGTCGGAATGATAAATACCCCACATAGAATCTCTAAGGGATTTGGAACCCCAGTAGAAATTACAATTTCAACTAAATATCAGGGTTCTAGGTAACAGAAATCAAAAGTGATTTTCAGGAACCTTGTAGGAATGCCATTACATGCTATATAGGGGCTTTTAGTAGATAGAATATGGCTTTGAACCTTGGGTGTATTATAGTAAGACCCCCCAATATACACCATACTCGATCTACTTAAGGGGGACTATATATCTTGTATGGACCCCCGCCCAGAGATGGTGAAGAAAATGCGTGATGACTTTATCAGGGTCCTCTTCTATTCCTCTTTTACCACCATTACAGGGTGGGGGGGTTCACCTAAGGCATCTTTAGTACTTGGCGGTGTGTAGGGAGGGATTTCTCCAGACCAGAAGCTCTACCCCCATCAAACCCAGCTCGTCGCCTGTATACTTAAGGGCTTCAGGGTTCAGGGATTAGGGTTAGGATTCGCGGATGAAGGTTTAGGTTAACCCAGGGGGCCCAACACCCCTTAATTAACGAGTGTAGCTTAACCCAGATTGGGGATCCTCCTGAAGTAAATGCTTAATTAACGTGTATTTGTCATCTCGGGGAACAACCGAACTAATCATGCAGCTGAACTCACCTTAAGCCCTGAACCCTAAACCCTAAATCCCACTTACCAAACCTCAAGCCGCAATCTCAAGCAATCTCAGCTCCCAGCATCTCCATCTCGTCGTCACAGCCATCCAGAAGCCCGTAGCGAGGCAGATGACCTAAGCAACTCATTCTTTCATGCTAAGGTTAGGGCTTAGGGTTTAGGTGTTTTTTGTGGGGTTAGGGGTTTTTAGTGGTTGGGGTGTAGTATATAAGCTTAGGGCTTAGGGGTTGGGGGACACCTGTATACACATGTTGTTTGGGAGGCCTTCGGTGTAAGAAGCATATGTCAGGGTCTTGTGCGCATATGAGCCCCATTTTCTTGTTCAACTCTACCCCAGCTGGAGCGCGATCTAGATCTAGTTAGCTAGATCCTGAAGTGGCTTTGGGCCAACACTGGGTGGCATAGTGGCAGACTGTCAGGCTCCCTGGTGCCCCTCCCCTAGTAATGAACCCCCAGCAATAACCAAAAGCAATACTTATCATCAGGATGTATTGGATTGATTCTTGGGTCTAGCTGCCACCACTAGCAAATGATGTCATCTTCTGTCCAAAATTCAACCCCCTGCCCTTGCAGAGGGTGAAAAGCCTAACCAGTGGCCAGGGACTGCGTGCGAGCTCCGGCTGCAAAAGAAGGAAAACACGAGCCTACTGTACACGGCTCGGACCCAAAAGCCTCAGGAAGGCGGGAGCGCTTGACTTACCCAAGCGGAGGCAGGACATTCTTGGGTCTCTGTCAGGTTGAGCCAGACATAATGTATATTAGCTCCTGAAAGCCTGGGGGATACCTTTGGGCGGTCATGGTACTGAAGCCGCAGAGTCAAGCCAAGGAACCCGTTGTAACATCAAATAGTAGTTTCCGTCTTCTTGTCCACTATTATATAACTGACCCCTAAACCCTGAACCTAGGGGGCTTTGGGATGATCACCCCTAAACTACGGCACATTCCAAGGGGGGCCCAGATATTCACTGGTCCTCTAAGAAGGGCCCTTAAAGGTACTTTTCAATGGAACTTTCAGGTTACCTAGAGAGTCTGTCCTACGTATGGATCTAAGCCCTTAACCTAAACCTAAACCCTAGACTCCTGGGCATCTACCTGATAAACATGACCTGAGGCCCCAGCTGCTAACCAAGTTGCTGCCACAAAGCCGACGGCTGCAGCCTTACACAACTAGGGTTTAGGGTTTATAGTTGTTTAGATGTGTGAAGTAGGTCTTAGGGTTTGTGTGGGGTTTGGAGAGCTTGAAGGGTTTGGGGGTCATTTTTTGGGAAGGGCTTGAACTTCTTGGCCCTGACGGCAAAAGTCAGACTCCGTCCAAACCCTATTTCTCCAAGATAGAGAGAAGGTCGGGTAGCTTCATGGGTTCCACTCCTCCCCCCTCTACTTCTTAATTGATCTTATTTCAGGATAACATTAGCCTGTTGAAGTTACTCAGGGGCAAACTAGCGAGGTAGTCTAGGAGCGTAGTAGGGGAGCCTGTAGTACTTAGAGGAACTTTACAAGAAGGTCTGATCCCTTCATCTCTTGCTTGGGGCCTGTGGTGACAGGCCAACCCTTAATTAGAAATCATGCCTACATAGCCTGACAAAGGGAACGTCAACTGCAACTCCTGTTGAGGACCGTCTCATGGCTTAGATGCCGAACGCTACATGATTGCCAACTCCCTACTGTAACCTTCAACATAACCGTACATATCTAGAACTCCGCACACTCACTGAAACCCTTCTTTGCGTCTAAGCGGGGCAGCAGATAAGCCCAAGCGCAGCTCTTGACCCATGAGATGGTGCAGGTCTGTCACGGATTCTTCTACGTGCCCCAATAGTAATAATAATAGTACCAAAAATAATAGTAGTAATAATTCTAGACCCTAAGGTTCCACTTAGATTGGGCTACTTCAGTAACCCCAATATAGTAGTTTCCATTTCATTTTCCATTTTCTTTTCCATTTGATTCTCCATTATTAGGGGTAACTTTAGGGCTTTTAAAGGCCAATTGATTGAACCCTAAACCCTAAACCCCAAGCCAATTAAGCCCAGCGGCCAGCGCCTTTGAGCGAGTGGACCAGAAGTTGTGCTCTGCATGGGAGCCTGGCAAACTTGCTCCAAGACCCAGGGGTTTAGGGTTTAGGGTTTGGGTTTAGGGTTTAGGGTTTTAGGGTGTAGGGTTTTGGGTTTAGGGTTTACCTTTGAGAGCTTAGGGTTTAGGTGTTGTGAAGTGCTAGGCTTGGGGTATCCTTCATGCAGATATACAACTACAAGAAGGGCTTCATGACAAAGCGGGCCGTCTCAAGCCTAAACCCTAAACCCGATAAGTTCCTGGTGATCGGGTCGGGGGTAGCTCGGAATACATAGCGGGACGCTGCACTCTCGCAAACATGCCCGACACATCATCCTGAAAATGGGACAACTAGAACTTGTCTCGTATATGTCCTATCCCTAAACCCTAAACCCTGAACCCTAAACCTTCAACCAAGACCCTAAATAGTAGTTTCCATTTTCTTTTCCACTATCCCTGTATAGCCCTAAATACACCCATACCAACGCATATGTAGAGGGTAAGGTTTCAGGGTTAGGGAGCACAACTCACGCGAGTTGGGTTTTCGGGGGCCAACTTAATGCGCAAATAATCTATGTGGCAATACGGACTCCTATGAAGGGTTAACCCTGAGGTACATATAAGAGAAGTATAATTGAATCCCGAAGGGTTACTGGTCTAAGGTCCAAGCTAAGTCCTAAGCAGGAATGTACTGCAGCTACGCCCGGGTCACCATGGCTAAGATGGCATGGTTAGCTCGCTCTAGGGCACTACCCCTCAAAAGGCTCTGCTCTGATTAGGCTTAGTTAGTGATGTTAACTAAAGCTGATTAAGTGGGTAGTCGGGTGGGGATGGTTAGGAGAATGGATGATTAACCCTCCAAGACCACAGGAAATTAACTGCTTGGAGGGGCAGTGGACTTCGAAGTAGGTTTATGACCCCTACAATCCATGTAGTAACCCCAATCATCCCGACTATTAAGCTGCTGACTAAGCCCCCCTGACCCTCCAAGTACGTTTACCCTAAACCCTAAACCCTAAACCATGGGAAGAGGAGGGCTAAGCTTTGAGGAACCCTTACCTGGAAGGGGAGCCCGGATGTTTTTGCACTAAGCCCTAAACCCTAGACCCTCGTTGGGGGTACCCCTAATGAGGATTAGAGCATCTTTGGGTCCATGTTGGGTCGCCCTATGTATGGAAACTGCTATTTCGGACTTTCCATACTGATTGTTGGAAAACCCCCGTGTATTCCCTAAACTCCCAACACCAAAAACTCATGGCCCTCAACCCTGAACCCTAAACCCAGGGTCTTGTAGGGTCATAGTCGAGGGATTCCCAAAGCTTTCTTTCAGGTTCCCCTACAATACAACCAGCCCTACATACTAAACCCTGATTTAGGATTTAGGGGCTTAGGGTTTAGGGTAACCCCCAAAAGCCACAAGCACTTCGTAGGGCTTTGGCTTAAAAAAATGAAAGTCGCAGGACTAAACGTTTGGAACTGTGGGCTCAGGCTTTTGCTCTTGGGGATTATAGTCCCCCTTAAGTAAATAAAATGTGGGGTAGATGAGGATCTTGTTATAATATGCCCAAAACCCTATTCTTTCTACTCAAGGGGGATTATATACCTTCGCCAGAAGCAAAACAAACTTCCGTGCGCATGTAAATCCACAGAAGGACGAAGCAAGCCTCACCACAATGCATGAAGCCTCCAGATCTGGTTTAGGGCTTAGGATGTAGTATTTAGGATTATCTAGGTAATGCAGGGTTCAATTTTATTAGCATAGGCCTTTGGCAGAAGATCAGATCCCTTTTTCCTACTGTTCAGCTTTAGTAAGGAGACCCCAAAATGAAAAGGGCAAAAGAATACTACTGGGGTACCTAGTATACTAGGAAGCCCGTAAACACCTTGCAGCCTTAAAGCCGCTAATCATGATGCCAACCCGCATGCCCAAATTGAGTTTTGACCTTCGCGCTACGGGGCTACTATTACTATTACTATGCCTCTTACTATTTACTATTACTACTTACTATTACCATCACTATTATTATTACTAGTATTACTAGTATTATTTCCACTACTATTTGTATAAGCAATGTTCAAAAAGAGGTTCCAACCAACAACACCAAAAACTGGACGAAAAGGCCATCCCAATGTACCCTGCACTTGGGGAGACTGCCCTTTTGTGAATTCTGCCAAGCGTGCCTGCTGCGAGGACCTGTGGCGGAATCTGCTCCACGAACCTTCCGGCGGCTATTGGCCAAGATATGGAGGTTTCCCAAAATTAGGGGTACCTTTTTGGGGGTCCCAATAATAAGGATTACAGTATTTTGGGGTCTATATTAGGGTCACCCTATTTTGGGAACCTACCATATGGAGGATTGTCAAAAGCATGTGAGTGCACCCGCAATGGTAGGTGCCATGTCACACTAGGGACCCTTAAAAAAGGACCAGAATTTCAATAGCAAACGATGTGAACCCAAGTAATTCAGAAAATAGTCAGGTTGGCACTCTTCACAGACACCTCGTCCTACTGGTGCGTAAGGTAGCTTGGAGAGTGGATCCCTTCAATAATCCCTACCATATATGTATATACCCCTATACTAGTCCCTATATTCACTCCCAATCCTAAATCCTATATTCACTCCCCCACTCCCCCTTTAGAAGCAGTGAGTCGTTGATGGTTGCATCTACTGCATGGCTGCTTAACCCTTGCATAAGTTAACAAGCTACTCCCCTCTCCCTTTTAATCAGGCTCCCCAGCCGCGCCCCAAGTTTCAAATACAACGCCCCCCCAAGAAAGTACCATCAAATAACGGGGTGGAATGCTGATTGCTAAGGGGTGGGTTGTTGTTCAATATTGGTGAGAGGGGACTTCATAACAAGCCAAGGCAAGGGGCGACCAGATGTAATCCCAAACGATTCCGCAAAGATTGGGAGCCTCTGAAACAAAGACTCCTCCACAAAAAGAGGCCATGATTGGTTCTTAAGGGCAAAGGGGGTTTTGGGTACCCATACCCACCAAAAAGAACCCCTAGAACTACAACTGACCTTTATGGGGTTCTCATTAAGAGGAGTTCGGGGGTCACCAAACTCCTGTTGTTTACTTGTTAGGTATGTTGCAGAACGCGAGCGTGCTCCCCACTTCTTTGTAAGCGAGTATAGGAAATTAGAGTGCAACCGCTGTACAAGAAAAGCCTTGGCCAAGAAAAAATCACACGGCCTTGTGGCTAAGAAGTGAAGGCTAGCCAATGATTTGATCAATGATGCAACAACATAATAGGACCAAGGAGAGCTAATTATAGAATGTTACCTTGTTATTTTCTCTTGCCTAGGGGCTTGAAGTTTTGGGTTGGGGGCTTTCGTTTTGAAGGTTAAGGAGCATAAACCACACGGCTAATTCGAGCTACCTGCACGTTCTTCGGCGGACGGTGACATTCACCCACTGAAGATTGGCCGCGTCGAATTGCGCTTGGGCGGGCGGTAACATAGCATATTGTGGGGGCCATCCCAAGAGTAAAGAGAATGCTAATTTCCCGGCACAAGAAGAAATGGTACCATCACGATTCTGAAAGATGTATAGGGCCGGATGCTTCTATGACGGGATGGGGGCATGTGCTCGCAAAGGAAGATCCACAAAAACACCAGTTTCCAGGAGACCCACCCGTCATCAACGCCTTCTATTAGCAAATCTCCTGGCCTGACCAAGGGAAGCGCATGAATCTGCTCTTCCCATTGTTTTTTTTTTCTTTTGTTGGTGGAGGGCTGGTAATGTAAGCAGCAATATGTCCAAGATTCCTTGATGGCTACAGGCTTCAGGGTCAGTCCCTAAAGACCAGACATCGTGGTCATGCCAACAAAAGATCCTAGTTGCATGACCTGGGCCCCTGGCTTGCCACCCAAACTCCACGTCCATGGACTTTACCCTATGCGATAAATCCCTGCTGGAGACCAGTACCCGGGTTTAATGTTTACGGCTTTTCCAAAGTTAACCTTTAGGTCTATACTGGGTGGTACAGTAGATTGAAAGGTTTTCAAGATGAATGCTAGGAACCAGCCTGATATGCGCCCAGTTTCCACGTTATTTTCCATTTAATTCGTCATGATTCCAAACCCTACAGAACCTCTATGTACCCATTTCCCCCTTGCCATCGATCCTCCATTTCTGATACACGCTTTAACCTCCAAGGCCCCAGTCTATACCCCACCATAAGATGGTAGTTTCCAGCGCTTACTTATCCCTACATAGCCCCTACATCAGTTCCTGAGATAGGCCTTATTCAACCCCCTCAGAATCTCTGTAGAAACCCTGTATAACCCATTTGGAACCCCAAGCCCCAATCCTAAACCCTAAACCCCGAGCCCTAAAGCCCAAACCCTACACCCTTATATAAATCCTAAACCTAACCCTCAAAATTTGGTGCTGAGCTGAGTAGGCCTCTTTGCATCAGCGGGAGGTGGTGTGGCTGCCTTTGCCAACAAGGGGCCGTAAACTTTACTAGGGTAGGCTTTACGGCCCCATAAATATTATTCTATGGAGTTATAGGGGCCATACAGAGATGAAAGGTAAGCATACTATTCATAATTAAGCTCAAACCTACCCCTGTTAAGGTTCAGGATTTATGTCTAGGCGATCGACGCGCGCATGCCACATTAAGACATGTTTGGTGATGCCTTTGCCACCTTTAAGGTGTCGACTTTAAGGCTTTCGGTTCAGATCCCACCTGATATCCTAAAACCCTAAACCCTAACCCTAAACCCTAACCCTAAACCCTAATCCTAAACCTAAAGCCTAAACCCTACACCCTAAACAGTCACAGCTACGTTCTTTAGGGCTTAGGCCTTAATGGTGGCTGCGCGAAAGCCCGAAACCCTTGATCTCTAGACCCCTGTATGATAAACCTTATCTTTTCCATTTGCTTCTCGATTATTGGGATAGTATCCTTCATGCCTATAGCATCCATGTATCCCCCATACATACATACATACATACATACATACATACATACATACCCCAGTCTACTGTGGTAGCTTCCATTTTCTGTTGCATCCCTTTATAACCCTGATGTAACCCATTATACGATACGGATAAGTATTACTTACCATTGCATGTTCCATCGTTTTGTCCATTCGGTTCTCCTGCGTAGGTATAGATAGATAGATAGATAGATAGATAGGTAGATAGATAGATAGATAGAAATCAGATATAGATATAAGCCCTAGACCCTGAACACTCACCCCTAGACCCTAAACTGCCTTGAACCTCGGAATCTCATCCGGCTTTCCACAAGACTGTTATCCAGGGGAGCTCCCAGCCGCTAAAAACAAATGCAGGAACTTAAACGAAGGTTACATAGGGTTTAGTTTAGTGTTTTAGGGTTTAGGGCTGAGGGTTTAGGGTATGGAGGAATTATATGGAAAATGACATGGGAAGTCCTGTTTCAGGCTTTTTTTTTCTGAATCCGGTGCGTAAGGAATCTGATATCACCTGAAGTACATGTCCTTGCTCAGGGCTTAGGGTACGTCCGGCTCTGGATTCAGGGCTGAGGCATAGGATTGCACGATTAAGGGGCTCCATCAGCAGGATTCCTCCCACCTAGCTTTGGGGGCCTGTAGGGTGTCGATGTAAAATTAAGCCGAGCCGTGGTGGTTAAGCCATGAAAGTGCTTTAGGAAAGAAAGTTTGGGGCTTAGGGTCTAGAGTATGGGGCTTTGTCCTTGCTGGTGCCTCAGGAGTCAGGAAACCCCCACCATGCAAAAACCTTGCTGCATCCTAAACCCCTAACCCGCACCTCCACCTGACCTTAGCCGCACGACTTACTTGGAGGGTCAGGGGAACTTGGCAGGTGAATAACCCCTATAACCCATATGGTAACTCCACTTATCCCCCTTATTAACCCATCTACTAAGTCACCCTGACCCTCCCAGTAACCCCACACCTTAAACCCTCATCCCTCATCCCTTTTTTTCTTGAAGGAGCACTCTCATCCCTAAACCATAAACCCTACTTTTAGAGAACCCTATCATGAAGCCTGCTCTTCGAGTGCTGGCTTGGCGGGTGCACCTGAGGAGGCGAGGGGTTTCAGATTTGACGGTTGGGGCTAGGGATAAACCCTAACCCTCGAACGCCTTAACCCTAAACCCTACGGATTCCAAGGTTGAGGGTTATGGCAGTGTCCCTAAATAGGGGACCCCAATATAGACCCTAATATACTCTAGTCCTTATCATAGGGACCCCCAAAACGTACTCCTAATTTTGGAAAACCCGTTATAGGTTCGGAGCTTAATTCGACCTCCAGACCTATTATATCCATTTCAAACTGTTCGGGGGCCCAGGGGGGTTTGGGGATTAAGTTTGAATGCTTAAGAGCAAAGTCTTTCTTGTATAGCCCCTACTAAGGATCGCGCATAGTCCGCAAAAGTTATTTGGGTCCCTGTTTTGAGAAACTCCGATGAGAAATTAGGGGGTCAAGGTTTCCGATCATGACGAGGGGCAGCTTGACCACTCATCACCTTCCCTACTACCAATAAAAACCCCACCCCCTAATCAAAAGTAACTCCCCAAATATACACAATGGCAGTATATACATAGGGTACTTATTACTCGGGGGATGCGTCTGACATACAAAGTTGAGGTGAATTTGGAGGTTGCGCGCCAAAATGTTCAACCTAGACCCTCCTTCATCTCTCTATCATATCCTAAGTGCCCAGAGTTGAGAACCATATGCCCCTATTTAAAGGTACAAGGAGGGTCCTGGAAGTCATTTCTTGGGAGCCGAACCCCAAACCCTAACTACATGAGATATAGCCAGTCTAAACTCCTAGGAGTTGTTTAGACTAAAGCTGTTATAAGCAGTATGGTAGTTGGGCGTCTGCAAGGTAGGGTACCTTCCCCATGCGTTGGGGCTGGCAGGTTACTGAATGTCTTAAGTCTCTCGTAGTATTTCAACAAGGACGCTTGAAGGGCTTCTGCAGGGCGTTAGAGGAATTTGCAGCTTAAGAGGTATAGTCCCCCTTAAGTAGATGAAATTGGGGTATATGGGGATCTTACTATAACATACCCAACGCCATATTCTATCTACCTCAGGCGGACCATGCACCCCAGGGTTGGACATCGAACTGCCTATCCAGCCTGATGACATAGCAGCCCTCCTTGTCAGAGGTTTCCGAAGATGATGCGAAGTCAAGACTCTCCAACCCTACTGCTGTAATTAGGGGGAATTTTAAGGTGGGGAGTTACCAGGTGGTTACTCCTACACAAGCTTTAAGGCTTTAAGGGAGGCTAGGAGGCCTCTAAGATCTAAGATCCCTCATAGCTCCGGGGTCCTATAACGAGCACCCGTCCCCGCAACCCCTCATGCCTGACATAGAGAAGGCACGCTCCGGAAAAAAAGCTGGGAAACTGGAGGTCCCCCAAACAGAGCGAAAGGGATATGAGGTCACCGTTCTACACTACTAAGTCTACCATCATCTGGGCATAGCATGTTCATGTTCTAAGATTCTGGTCGATAACATGCTTCCTTTATTAAGGTAACTTAGCTTGAGTTCCCTGACGGCAACCCAGTATTGAGGGGATATCTCCCGAGCAGATCTTAGGATGGTGGGGAAAGCGTAGCTGGCTGGCACCCGTATTTTCATCAAAAGATCCTACACTACATCCACACCGCAGAGAAAGCCTAGACAAGCACTACATAACCATTCATTAGCCCGGTTTGGACGTTGTATGAAAGGGGCGGTAGGCGTGTGCAAGAGTAGGACAATGCATAACCCTCTGATCTGAAAAACCTGCTCATCTAGGTCTGTTCGAGGGTCAGCGGAGATCAGTTACAATGCTCAGCCTCACGCCCACGCTTACAAACCTAAACGGTGCCTAGAACGTCCTACGAAGTCACAGGCAAAGTTCAAAGCATAAGCCTACTTTTCAATAGGCGCGCGCTCCTACTCTTAATCACTTAGAAGTGCCCCCGAAACTTCAGGTATAATCTCCCTCAAGTAGATAGACTATGGGGTATATGGGGGGATCTCATTAAAATATACCCAGGCCATATCCTATCTACTTAAGGGGGACTATAACCCCAACATATACCCTATTGTAATTTAATAGTCTCCATTTTCTTTTCCATTGTCCCCATACAAGCCCCCCAAAAAAACCCTAAACCCTAACCCCTAAGCCCCTAACCTCTAAACCCTAAACCCTTAACCCCTAAACCCCAAACCTTGCGTATTCGACGTGAGCTTCGGACTGACATTCAAAGTGGGGTCTTTGGCACCGATGTTGTCCTTCAGAGCTGCCAGGACCTCTGGGGACGCTTCAGCTGGACTTAGTCGGTTTAGGGTTCAGGGGTTTTGGGTTTAGGATGGTTTAGGGGTTTAGGGTTTATTTTTTCTGCTGCAAAGCACTGGTGCCATCAATGATGGTAACTATAAGAGATATAGGATATCATATGGTCCAACCCTAAACGCCATAATCGCAATGTATTTTGAATGTTCTTTACCCTTTGATGCCCCATGAGTAACCCTAAACCCCAATCCCCAAACCCTAAACCCCGATCCCTAAACCCTAAACCCAATGCCTAAACCCTAAACGAATAACGGGTTGCTATAAGGATCCATTTCTTCTTTCCTAGCTAACCAAAGGTAAGATGAATAAAGCAGAGATCGACGCTAGGGCCTTAGGCTTCCAGGGTTTAGGGTCGGAGGATTTCAGGGTCTAGGGTTTAGGATTTTAGTGTGTAGGACTTAACACCGCTAGAATTCCTGCCGCGATGAATGCTTCAGCAGCGATACCCCGGTTTCTGGAAACAGAGCTCCTATTCCCGTGAAACCCTGTACTCCATGGTCCTGAAACCCGAACCAACTACCCTCCATCAAATAAAGAAGTTGAGGGCAGAGATTTTAGGAACCTCTTCAAAGACTACTGTCGGGCTTCCACATGTCTTGGGTCAGGAGGGGCGGCTATCCAACCCCAAGCGGGCCAAAAACTTGAACCCCTCAAGCCAAGTTAGCTCCAAAGCCCGAGACCTAAACCACAACCACAAATCCCGAAATCCCAAATTCCCAATCCTAAAGCCATGCCTGGACCACAAAAGTAGAAAAAATGACCAAGCATAGATGAGCTGCGGGATCCTCCGGAGCCACCTGTCCGTTGCTGCGCGAGCCTCAGCAAAGGCTAAGGGGTCGGCAGGTTAGTGCTTTCTGTGGTTAATATGAAGACTCCTGCATGACCTGAGTATACTAGAGAACCAGAATTCGCAAGGCATAAGTTACTTCGGTCATGCAAGCTTTTTAGTTTCTACCTGCAGGCTTTTCATATCTGCAGTATGGAGCGCTGAATGACCATGGGTTAGGTTGTGCAATTTGTTACCTGTTAACTACTATTAGGATTTAAGGTTCAGGGTTAAACTTTTCCCTTCTATAGAGGCCAGATAAAATGGTGTTCAGGGTGGTGAGGGGCTCGAACCAATAGAGTACTCAGATTGGGCACCATATACAACATCTCAAGAAAGAGCTTTACCTGTTTTGGGAGGATGGTAATCGTACATATTCAGACTTCCACATCCCCTCTCTTCTTGCTTTAGTGGATTTATCCCTTACAAGCCTCAATACCCAGCTGTAATTCATACGGTCTTTTCTTTGCGGAGGTATGTGGGTGTCTGGCCACTGTGTCCCCGCAGACCTGTAGGAAAATCTAAACACACCAAACCCTTTTTTGCAGGAGGCACTAGCTTCAGACCTCTGGTTCCCAGCCGGCTGCAGCGTTCGCAGCGCCACTTCAGGAGCAACTCCGAAGGAACAGTATGCATTAGAAGAACTCAAAGGCTTCCCCGCGTGCTTACCGTGTTGTTTGACGGCTCCATACGGAGTTCCAGCCAACGTGCCCTCTCTAATTGCAGCTTGAATTCGTTGAATGTTTGGGGCCCAGCTTAAGGTTTAGGGCTTAGAATGGTTTAGAGTCAAGACAATGGTACCTCTTCGTTTGCCTCAAACCTTGGACTTACGATTCTCCCTAGCAGGGCCCCCGGCGATTCTCGTTGAAAGTGGGATCCTGCGCGCCTACGCCATCCTCCAGAGCTTTGACAACCTTGCATGGGTTTTACTGGGTTGCTGTTAAGGAACTTAAATTATATAAGTTACCATAATGGGTATATATAGTAAATAATAGGGTTTCCCCTAAATAGTAGCTTAATTTAAGTTCCTTAACAGCAACCCAGTTTTAAGCTGGGGGTGGAATTTTAGGGTGGAAGGGCTTTTGGTAAAGAGATCTTAGGGTAGAAGGGCTTTAGGGTGGAAGGGAATTTGGGGTGGAAAGGTTTAGAGGTGGAAGGGTGTTAGGGTGGAAGGGTTTCGTGCGAGGGCTTTTAGGGTACAAGGGTTTAAGGGTGGAAGGGTTTTAGCGTGGAAGGGATTTGGGGTGGAAATGCTTAGTGGTGGAAGGGTTTTTGGGGTGGAACCTTCTTAGGGTGGAAAGGATTTAGGGTGGAAAGGTTTAGGGGTGGAAGGGTTTAGAGTGGTAGAGGTTTAGGGTGATGGGCTTAGGGCTTGCGTGCTTGAGGGTGTTGAAGCGACTTGTGGGCACAACGAAGAGAATACAGAGTTTTGTGTATAGTGTGGCGGTATCATGTAGCATTTTGCACCTTGGTTGGGGGCTCAGCTCAGGGATTAATAGCCGCGCTGGGATTACTGGAAGGTTCATAGTTGAGGTGTGGTTTATGAAGGTAGGAAATGATGGAGGGCAATGCCTCCCCTAATGATAAACCAAAGATAACTTTCCTGGTCTAGTACTCCAATATGCGAGTGGAAATGTTCATCCATACGGAGCAGGGACGTTCACTATTGCCTGCCTCCCCGAAGTATGTAGAGCACATTACCCAAACCCTAAACCCTGAAGGCCTTAAACCATAGCTATGACCCCTCGTAAAATCAAGGGCACGTGCCTATGAAGCCCTATGCTACAGACACCCTTTCTCCCCTCCCAAAACCAAATGATCCGTACAGTTCTGGCTTGTTTAGGCCTGACTTTGGGGGGAGGGGCCAGAAAGATGGGTGCAGGAAGTTGTGACTCATGACAGCAAAGTTTGCACCTTGATGTCATGGCCTCCAAAGGGTTTCGGGTAGGTCTGGGGGGCCTATAGAAATCAGATCTTTATGGGTTTACAGGGACTATATAGGAGGATTCTATAGGGATGAAGGGTAATAATGGCTTCATAAGGATTTTACAGGGATGACAGGTAATGAAAATTCGAAAGTATTTACAAACCTAGCTTAGGGTTTAGGGTTGTTTGGAGAGCACGGATGAAGGGTAGCTCTGCCAAGAGACTTTCTTTCTGCAAAAGCGCAAGTCCCTAAAACAGCTTGTTAACCCCAAGTATAAGTGCGCTTATGACCCAAGAAGGAGCCCTGAGGAGTTCCCTAAAATGGTTTTAGCTGGGTTCTGGGTACCTGCTCTAGCAGAAGCTAGAACTACCCGGAACCTTGAACCCTAAACCCTAAACCCTAAACCAAGTAGCCATTGTATGGGGGCTCCTAGTAGGTCGTGGTTGCAGGAGCCCTGACGCAAGGAATCCTGAACTCCCAACCCTATAGTCGCCCTTAAGTAGATAGAATATGGGGTATATGGGGGGCTTATTAAGGGTTTAGGGTTTAGGGTTATAGTCCCCCTTAAGTAGATAGAATATGGGGTATATGGTGAAGTTATTGTAATATACCCAAAGCCATATTCTATCTACTTAAGGGGGAATATAAACCGTCTTGCCTCTCGAAACCAAGGAAAAACTACCGTGCGCTGCAATGACTGAACAGGTGAATTTCTCTATTTAAAAAACCTGTGCCATCCGACAAGGACCCCCCCAAAAAAAAACCAATAACTTACAATCCCTCAGCCCTGAATCCTAAACCACAGACCCTAAACCTTTGTAGAGCTCAAGCTCCCCGGCCAGGAATTCCAACCCCGAAGCTCTGAACCCTGCTGCTGCCTTCCCTTCTTGGTGGTTGCTAGGGAGGGAATGGGATAGAGGCCCTAATTAAAGGCACTTTATAATCTCAGGACTACTACAAGGATCCATTCCCCCACTCCCTACTAACCACCAAGCAACATGCGAATCTCCGCAATCATAGAGGCCAGTATGTGGGAGATTTGTCAAGACATGGGTACGCTAGAGACCATGGATAGGCATGAGTGGAAAACAAAGGGAATCATAAGGGCACGGTAAGTATTTGAGCTACGGTCTAAACTCCTAGTATCCCCCTTAAGAAGCCCTACAATACTGCCCTACAAAACCCCCTTTAAGGAGTTTAGACTATAGCTCTTTGGAAGTAGTCTGGATTTCCTGGGGCAGCGCACCGGATCCTCCACAGGAGGTGTCTCCGCAGTTGGGCGGCCTAAGCAGCGATATCCTATGGAACCCTCAACAATTTAGGGTTTAGGGAGGCATGTCGGGATGTGTAGGTCTTTTGCAGCGCAAAGACCGTAGTCCCTGCCCAACAGCAGCTCTTTGCGATTTCTTGTGAATCTGGGGAGGGTATCCCTGTGGTTCAGGGTTTAACTTCGTCTCACCTGGACCCAAACTTACTAGGGGTTAGGGAATAAGGCAGTGTATACCGTATAGGGATTATACAGGGACTAGATTCCCTCATTCCCTACTATACGAAACACCAGTAAGCAAAACAATTTCAGGGATGAAGTAGCACCCCGCCAAGCGTTGTGAGATTAATTACTGCGGGGATGCCTGGCAAGTGGTTGCTGTAGAGTGGTGCCCAATATGTAATCCCCTCCCCGTAATATTAAACCCCCCCACTCCCCCCTAATCTGAAATACTCCCATGATGTGGTATAATAATAAATAATATACTGGGAGTATCTAATATTAGGGAGGGTGGGGGGCAAGCCTTTCCTCAAAGGAATTCCCAAACATTCTGTTGAGGGATCTTTCAGGTGGGTAGTTCTTACACAAGGCTTATATAAGGCTTACATAGGGACACGAGGCAAGACAAGGGCTATGGCGGCAAGACGTCTCTGGCAAGAAAACGCAGCAGAATTGCCTTTCAAGTGCGTGTAGTTGATTCTGGCACTCTCCCCCAAACTGAGAAGGAAAACCACATAGCCCCTTTCAAAAGGAGAGCAGCCCTGAAAAGCTTGCAGGACCACTAAATGAATATTTCCAGGATACTACAGGGGCCTGAATAATTACCAATATCATGTTTAGGTACCATAGACCATAATTGTATAAGGAGTATGGAACCATAATATTGGTAATTATTTAGGCCCTTGGATGCTTGCTTTCCCATCTTCGAGGACCCTTCGAAGCTGTGAGCAGCCCAAGCCAAGTCCACCATAACCCTCGGCAGACATGATGATAAAAGAGAGCCTAGCTGTGCTATATGACAATACTGGGATACTGTCATAGGATGTTACATGGCTATAACTTGGGCTTTCCCTACCTCACCCTAAACCCTAAATCGCAAAAGACCTAACCCTGAAAACTAGACGTCTCTTGGGCACGCACCATCATCGGCACTTAGGGCAGCCACGACCTAGAAGACAATGTGAATTGTAGTCTAAACTCCTTAAAGGGGGTTCTATAGGGGATTATACAGGGGACTACCATAGGGGTTATTAGGGGGGATACTAGGCGTTTAGACTATAGCTCATGTAAGTGCTTATTCTAATCTGTTTGAGCTTCTGGAATTGGGATTTGGAAGGTTGGGCCCAGACTAGAATGGGCGGTAGGGGCACTTCTCCGTTTGTTCGGGACTAGTTCAAGGCCTCTGGCTTCGGAGCAGTGGTTCCAGGTTGGACACTTGACTTTCCAAAGATCTTGGGTCTTTGGGTTTAGGGTTAGGGACTCTACTGGGAACCAAAAATAGGGAACCCCAAGAATATAGTAGGTATATAATAGGAATATACATACCAGGGTCCTTATATTCCATTATATTCCTGCTATATTCTTGGGGTTCCCTATTTGGGGTTCCCAGTAGAGTCCCTTTATTTAGGGTTAGGGTCTAGGGTTTGATGCAGTTGAGGAAAGGCGGCTGTAACAGGGAGAGCTCCATGAAACAATAGCCTGTTGACGGCGGGGGGGCGCTCAAGAAAAGCGCCAACCCTTACACGACCTAAACCTTCCCATTACTATTACTATTACTATTACTATTACTATTGCTATTAGTATTACTATTACTATTGCTATTCTTATCCTAAACCCTAAACCCTGACTTCTGGGCTTGAGACACCCTTAAGTTCGCGATGTCGTGAAATCGGACCCAAAAAATACCTGTATTTCCTGTAAACAGGGGTAGCCTTAGGGTATCATGAATAACTTTCTTGCATCCCCCTCCTTAGTGACCCTGCCCGGGTTGATGTTGCGCAGCTGAGTTCTGCACTGTGTCAACTGCGGAATCATTGCGCGAGGGCTTGCGGTTCTGCGCCTCCGTCGGCAAGAGACTATCCTTCCCAAATTTAAACCTACTTGTAGAGTACTAAACCTCAAAACCCTAGATCCTAAACCCTAAACCGCCACCATTGGGCCTATACTATCTCCATTAAACTTCAGTAAAAATATACTATCCAACTCTATGGAATTCAGGCCTGTACTCCAGGCTTGGACCTCATGTTTTACAGGCAGATGAACTGAAGGCACGCAAAGAACCTGGCTTCCAGTTCCACAGCATTTTAATATAATTGTTACCATCATTATTGCAACTGTGCTTGCTCACAATGGATGAGGACATTGCACTTACTCGCGGTTAGTAGGATATAAGGGAATATAGGCATTTAGGGTTTAGGCATAGGGGAAAACGGAAATATATTATGCAAAAGAAAAATGCCCTAAACTCCCCTAAAACCCACTAAACCAAGCAATTTGGGGATTACATCCCCTTTGTTTCTACAAAGCACGGCCAAAAAGTTGTAAATCTTGAAGGGCCTTAGGCCAGCACCGTCTTCAGAGATGGTTGCCCTTCCCTTCCCAGAGATACCCCTTTTGAGGTCCCCACCGCAATACTGGCCCAAGGACTATGCTGGAAATCCATGGACAACCCTTCAAGCGGTAGAGTTACACAGGCTCAATTATTTCAGGGGCGCCTAGATAGAAACCGGAGTGGACAGACCCATGCACTTGAAAGCACGAATTTGTCGCAGAATGAAAGGCAGTCTCCACGAAGTACATCATGCACTGATCAGACATCCCGTTCTGATTTTAAAACGCTGAACCCTAAACTAAACCAAAACGTAAGTAAACCCCGTACCACAGCCTCAACCCGATCTCGATGATGATTCCCAAACCCTGAATTCCAAAAGCGTCTCCGCAAGCTTAGCCAATGCCTCCAGTGTTGCCACTGCCTCCTGCATGGCGGCCAGGACCTCCTTGTGGGCAGAAGGGGGTTAAGTGTTCACCCAGAATGGCCTCCCTCCCCTATCCATGCAACCTGAACTCATATTCGCAAGAAAGTACAACTGTATTTCCGGGGAACATGCGTTGACAATAACTTATTAGTGGGTTGGGACGGCAGAGTTTGGCGGAGGGTATCAGGCCGTGTAAGCCGAACAGCCAGAAGAAAGGGTTCGCCCCAAAACCACCCACTTGTAGGCAAGGACCCAAGCAGAAAATAAAGTCGTTGCTTGGGAACGGCTACGTTATTTCTGGTTGCTTGCCTACACAGGTAGGGCTGTGTAGATGAGACTGTCTATGCGGACTGTACAGGGGCACTACGGGGTCTCAGCCAGTATGCTTATGGCCCCTATATGGCCACATGATAATCCCTAGTTCCCACTGACCTCCAAGTAGGCATACTTACCCAACGCCTGTGGAATTCGTATCTGCCTAGGGATGTGAAAGCTGTGGAGTAGAGAGGCTGGGGGGGATGATTGGATTGATTTCCCTAAGTTACTAAGCCCTAAACCCTTAGATTAAGCACTGTGCTCCCCCACAAAGAAGTACTGAAATCATGTGTGATCGGCTGGTTAATGTTGGCCAGAAAGAAAGTAAGGAGCAGTTGTCCAAGCATAGCGTGCTTCTCATGATTACCCCACCGCCCACAGGTTCCCCCTCTGTTAAGATTCATTGGAAATATTTCGGGCTGATTAAGGCTAATGAATGAGGAGCCTATGGGGGTAGCATAGCGGGGGTTAGGGGAACACATGAGTTTAGGGCTTAGGGCTTATCAATCCAGCGCACAGTCTGAAACTTCAGGCTCACGTAGTAAATATCACTTTGCTTGCCAACTTACAATAATGCAGAGGCTGTGTTAATGTCAGTTTGGGACTTTTTTCCTTTTGAAGCCACCACTTAGGGTGAGGTCGGGTGAGGTCGTCCTATTTCGCCAAACTTTTGTAACTAGTGTAGCTGTAGCTACGAAACATGCTTGCAGGTTGGGTAGTACTTCCAAAGACCTGCTAAAAGGTATGGGTATGTACCGTTAGCACTAAACCCTAAACATTAAAAACATACGATTTGTCAAAATTTTCTCTGGCATTCCACTATACCCCTAACATAACACCCCTAACCCTAAACCCTAAATAGCAGTTTCCACTCTAATTATAACCCCAATACAACCTTAATGTTACCCCTAAACCTTAAGGCCTTAGACCACCAGCAATCCCTGAACCCTAAACCGCTACATAGCCCCTATATAGCCTCTATATAACCCCATATTTACCCTAAACCCACATGATAATCATAGGATACCCATCCTGGGGGCTACGGCTACCAAAAGAACCCTCAAAAGGGGTTTATTAAATAGGGATAAAATAGGGATAAGGTAAAGGGTTATATGGGGGTAAATATAAGGAATTTATGAGGAGTATATAAAGGTTTTATAAGGATTCTATGGGGATTATATAGGGAGTATATAGCCAGGGATTATATAAGGGTTAATTTAGGCGGTATATAGGGATAATGGAAAAGAAAATGGAAACTACCATTTATGGCTTA